TGAAAATCACTGACTTTAAAATGAAGTCTTTTATTTCTATTTTCAGGCATTTCATAACCCTAACCTAACTAACTTATCTTTACCTTTACCTTCTACTCTTTCTCAGCGTAGACCTACATTCTGAGACCATAGTACTCTACTCATTATTTCTCAAAACACCAAGCCAATTCCTGCCTCCATATTGTTTTCAATATGTATGTAGCTGTTGCTGCTACATCTGGCTGAGCAGCTCTGCCCTGGGTCCCGTCCCACTCCCCACCCATACATTCACACACCCAAATTTGGCCAGTGCTTAATATCTTTGGTAAGACTGTTTTCAAAAAGTTAAAATTTACAGCATATCAAAAACAGGAGTTGGGCTTCCCTGGTGGTGCAGTGGTTGCGAGTCCGCCTGCCGATGCAGGGGACACGGGTTCGCACCCCGGTCCGGGAGGATCCCACATGCCGCGGAGCGGCTGGGCCCGTGAGCCATGGCCGCTGAGCCTGCGCATCCGGAGCCTGTGCTCCGCAACGGGAGAGGCCACAACAGTGAGAGGCCCGCATACTGCAAAAAAAAAAACAAAGAAAACAAAAAAAACCAGGAGTTGTCATGTTAAAGAGAACCTGGCTTCTAGGCCAGCAAGACTTGTCTGTAATTTGATAGAATGTATGAAAGCTGTGAAAGAAAGAAGTAGGAAGGAAGTGGGGGCCTTAGTCAGCTCTAAAAGATAGAAGGGGAGAGTACTGTAGAAGAGTCATCTGTGCATTGCCTGGAGGAGGAACACCTTGATCCACAGACTTGTTGGATTCCAGTGGTAGGACAGTCCCATCATAGAGACCGATGCATTTACTTGTTACAGGATAATGCTGTTAAACATTTATGCCATATATCTGACTCCCTGTGATTTGATTTCACAATCACTAAAAATATTCTGATTCTTTGACTTCCCTTATGTTGCATCTAGAAAATGGCTTGACTGAGACAAATCAATTTATATTACAACTGTACCATAAATTAATAAAACAGCATTCTGAATTCAGACATCTGTTTCTGTAACCTTGAGCCAGATGAGTCCATCCTGAGACAAGAGAGACTAACAAATTAGTCTGAAGGTATAGGAACCAAGGGTCAGATCCTGGACTATACTAAACGGCACAACAGAATGCCACTCCACAGAAACAGGAAGGGGTACATGGGACCTCCCCAATAAACACCCTGTCTAATTTCTTTTTAACACTTACATACACCTTTATTTATTCAAGGCCACTAACGACATACTAATACATTTCTATGACCTGGTCTACATGCCTTTCCAACAATTTCTCTCTATGTACCCTAAGCTACAGCAGAAACAAATGTTCTAAGTATACACATTAATGTTTTTATCTCTACTTGGAATATTCCTCCTCTCAATGTTGACAAGTCTAAATTTTAATTAATCCTGAAGGTTCAGCACAGAAAACACCTTTTTCATGAAGAGATTTCAAAGAACACCACCCACCAAGGCTAAAACTAGCAATACTGGTGACCTAGGCAAGTAGCAAATTGCCTTTAGATCAACTTATGTCTTAGTACTATGTGCCTCACCAGAGTCATCAAGAATCAGGGCATTTGGTAGGCTCTTTTTTTCACTATAAAAAAAATAAATAGGTATTAATCAGGTATTAAACTCAGTTTCTCTGTGCTGGAAGACCACATATGCCATCCACGTGTAATGCAATAAATGCTGTTGGTCTTATCTATTATTTTACATTTCTGCACTCTACATTTCAGTGCCCTGGGACATCATAGCCTAGCTTACCTACACTATCTATCTACAGTAGATACACCTTTGCTTACTAATTAAAAGTATTTTTCTCATTAAGAGAGGGATCAATTAAGTAAATATTATTTTTATTAAATAATTATTAAACTTATTTAAATCTATTTACCTGTTAAAGGTACTTGTTACTTGCTCCCTGTATTATATGTGTGAGCTTTTGTTTTATTTTCCCTTCTATTTTCTTTGAAGATACAATCCATATCTAGTTCATCTTTGTGTCTCCCACAGATTTTCAGCCAGTGCCTTGTATGTAGAGGGCACTTTAAATATAAATTAATTTCTCTTCCACTTTCAGTGAAGGCTCTCCTCATTCTTTTTAGATGCATCCCATCTTCTTATTGTCTTCCTTGACTACCCAGTCCACAGGTCACTTACTTTTAAACTACTATAAAAACTGCCTATAAACCATTTAATTGCCACCAATACCACCCTTGCGTTATCTTTTTACATGTATATGTATTTCATAGTCTTTTTACATTTTAGTATACCCCAACAATATCTAGGTATAGCATGGACAATTAACAAATATTACTTCATTCAGGTAATATTTTTAAAAAAATCAAATCAACAGACCCACTAGGAAAAGTGTAGTCAAAACTGGCACCTAGGGCTTCCCTGGTGGCGCAGTGATTGAGAGTCCGCCTGCCGATGCAGGGGACACGGGTTCGTGCCCCGGTCCGGGAAGATCCCACATGCTGCGGAGCGGCTGGGCCCGTGAGCCATGGCCGCTGAGCCTGCGTGTCCGCAGCCTGTGCTCCGTAACGGGAGAGGCCACAACAGTGAGAGGCCCGCGTACCGCAAAAAAAAAACAAAAAATCAAAAAATACTGGCACCTAAAGAGAACAAAAGATTTCACCTATGGCAATGAAAAACAAACTCCTGTTGTTGAAGGGCCAAAGGCTATGACATACATAATAGTTACTAGTAAATTAAATTGTGTTGGAATTCTACAAGTGTCTTTGAAGTTCATAAATCTTCCTTTCACTTTAGGGAGACACAAGTGCAACCACATCCATTTACTGACAGCAGATGGCTTTAAACAACAGCAATTAACTATATTAAACATATAAGGATAACTTTCACTTGTAATTTAGTTAGATATCCCTGCTGAAGATATTCATACAGTCAGTTTGTAGTATATATCATTTCACAGTATGCTAAGCCTTAGCTCTTTTATTTCTATTAGGCTTCCTTCTCCCTAATGAACCAAAAGTAGAAGAGCAATCTCTGAATCTTCACTTCTTTTGTATCCTTTCACAACAAGGAACTATACTTACAGCAGGCAATTAATAAATAAAAAGTTCAGCTTTTCTTACTGAGTTTCCATACTGTTAATAAGTAGATGAAATACAAAAATACATCAATAGCTCAAAAGGAAAAAGAGAGCATGAAAAAGGCAGGGGAAAAATGTGGTTTCACTTCCAAATGTGAATAAAAATAATTATGGATGTAAGGAGGCCAGCTTTAGGTTTTAATCATTGTTTTTCCACTACCTAATAATTTGCTATTCAGCTCCTGCTGTCATATAGCTTTTGGGTTGGGTGGCATAAGCTCACCAGGTAACCTAATGGATTTAAAGTTATTTACATTTTGCACATCCTTATGATAATTAATGGGATACCACATATTTTTCACACTTGATTGAAAAAAATATATATGTATATACATACATATTTTTTATATATATGGTCAAATCCTACAGAAAGGGTGTTAGCTCTCTAGTATCTCAGTCAGAACACTCTAGAGCCTTGCTACTCAAAGTGTGGTCCACAGCCCAGCAGCATTGGTATCACTTGGGAGCTCATTATGAGGCAGAAGCTCAGGCCCCACCCCAGGTGTCCTAAATCACAACCTGCATTTTAAGATCTCCAGGTAATCTGTAAGCACTTCAAAGTTTGAGCCGCACTGGTTTAGACTCCAGAGGAGGGATTAGAATGTCCAAGATACATATGATCAAGTAATACTAAATAACTCATAATTGCTTATTTGTTGGTCTTCCTCATCTGCTGACTGAAGGCTTTTCGAGGGCAGGAACCCTTTCTAGCTTCCTCACTACCAGCATACCCTGGACCTAAAAGGCCCTGAAGCACTACCCAGTGCTCAATGGATATTTTTTGCTGAATGCATGAATGACTGAACAAAGTGAAAATAAAACTTTTTAAGAAAGCTAATAATCCTTTAGGAAATTGAATAACATGATTTCACATATTACCACACTAGTTCTTTAATTCAGTATTATTAATTCCATTTAAAATATGTTGACTTCTCTATTTCAACAAATTCATTTAATGCATTCGACAAAGCAAAAGCCTGGATTATCTTCCTCTGTTGGAGCCAAGGGCCTCTTACAAGTGAAATAACTGCATTTTAATTTTAGCTCTCACATATCCATCCTATATGCCTGCACAAGATGAAATCATCGCAACAATTTGGAGGGGGTGGGGGCGGAATAGAGGAGGAATGGGTAAAGCAAAAACAATTCTGTATCAGGAGCATCACATGAAATCTGGAAAACATGATTTTTGGAATAGGATACTTCCATAAAATAACTCCCGGCCAGAGAAAGAAAGAGAACCCTTATCTTTCTCAAGAGCAAAAGGTGATATTAGAGAATACAAGGGAGCGATAAAAGACCAGCGACTACCTAGCGACGCAAGGTGGAAACACACCAGACCAGAACTAAAGAGGATAGCGGTTAGGTAGCGTCCAAGAACAGAGCAAAAAACCACTTTCAGATTTGCAGAAGGAAGTCAAGAGAGAAGAAAGGGGAAAGGAAACAGCTGTATTAAGGGTATAGCTTACGATGATAATTATTATTTATTATTATTTTTTGGATTAAGAGGGATGACATACACTTGAAGGGGGGGGATGGGAGGAAGGGAGGTTGCACTTTCGCGCACTGCAAAAGGAAGGGACTACAGGCGTTCTTTCCCAGCTCAGACGGTCCAAGGGAGGCAGCCCAGGCATAGGTGGCTGGCAACGCCCGGCTCCGCTAGCCGCTGCCGCATGGCCTGAGGCATCTCCTCAAAGCCTGCCGAGCACCGGGTGGGCACGGGAAAGGGTGTACACTGGGTAGGGGGCGGATGCCGGGCTGACTAGGTACCCACCTTATCCCAAGGGAGCCACTCCCAATGGCCGTGTCTAGCTGAGGGTCCCCGGAGTGATAAGGGGCGGATGCCGGGCTGACCAGATACCCACCTTATCCCAACGGAGCCACTGCCCGATGGCCGTGTCTAGCTGAGGGTCCCCGGTGTGATAGGGGGCGTGGAGTAGGTTGGAGTTCAGGTCCCCCTCTGCGTTTTCAGCCATGGCAGCCAGACTTGGGTGTGCGGGCCTGGGGGGCCGGCAAAGACACGTAGCTGGAGGGGCTTGACGTGCGCTCACAAGGATCCCGCCGCCCCCTCCTCACTGAAGGGCATCGGAGACCAACCGCAGGATGTTTGTATCAGCTCCTGCCGCAGCTTTGGGGAAGCAGGAGAGAGGGGGGACGCGGCCGCCCCGCTCCCAACTAGACCAGCTCCTGGTCTCTCTGGGCGACCAGACTGAGGCGGTCCCACCGCGAGAGAACAACAACAGTCCTAGATGTCTGGGTCGTAGCCCCGCCGCGGCCGCCGCACTCGCCACTCTAGGCCCCGCCCCCCGCGCCGCTGGCCCCGCCCCTTCCCAACCCCGCTGACTTAAGCTTCCGAGACCCGAGGCGCGAGCCGGGTAGCGCGCTTCGGACGTCTCCCGAGCTGCTTAAGTTAGGACCCGCGGGGTGGTGAGGAATTGGGGCACAGCCCTTTTTATTTTTTAATTTGCCTTTTCCCACGTGTTTTATCCTTGTTACAACCCCCACACACTCCCACGCGTCTCATTTTCTGGATCAGCCGCTACGGCCACCACAACGCGCTCCACCTCAGGGCTCGCTTTGTGAATCCCCGTCGCGCGCGTAGGCCCTCTCCCTTTTGGTCTTGGAGCGCCCGCCGGCGGGAGGGTGCGCGGGGCTGTCCCCGCACGGCGTCACGGGAGTTGTAGTTCTTTTCTTTCCTCGAGGTATGTGGAGACGGCCGCAAAGACTACAACTCCCGGCAGCTCCGCGCCCTGCGTTTTCTCAAAGGAAAAAAGATCTACCTCTAGGCTGTTCCCTACAGACACGCCCTGTCCGTGTTAGGTTCTCTGCGGTTTGTGGCTCTGGGCTTCAATTAAATTAAACAAGGACTGGTACAGTAAGGGGACAGCTGATACCCATTAAGTGCTTTACAGTTTACGAATCGCGTTTTGTCGTTTCAACCGTCGTGTGACAGAGTAAATGGACGTGATCCATCCCCATTTTACACACAAAGAGGAAACTGCCTCTGAGTGAACCGAGTTTTTCAAAGAGGCGGAATTCGTGATGGAACAAGGGTTCCAGCCTCATTTCAGATCTCAGATGGCAGTTCTTTTTACTCTGCTGCTACAGTGGACTGGGAGGCAGGAAGAACAAGATGACTGGGGGAAAAAAAATCAAGTTGTGAAAGAGGGAAGATGTGTCAGCATTTAACCATAACATAAGTAAGAATGAATAAGAGAGTGCAAAAATCAATGGCAGTAGGAATACAGAGGAAGAAGAAAGATTACTGGAATAGTCTTAAATTTCTCATTATTTTGGCCTCCTCTCTTCTACAAGAATGCTCACCTTTCAAGTCACACGACTTTAGGTGTGGGAGATGCTGAGAAGTGCTTACCTGTCAGACGCAGCTGCTCCTGAGTTTCTTGGTGTAGCCTTACAATGGCTCCATGATTTTGATCGAGTATCTTGTAACTCTTTCTCTGGTCAGCTTTTTTGCAAGGAGAGTGTAATAATATTTACACCTTGGCTATAGTAACTTAATGAATGGCTTTAAAATGCTTTAAGGTTCACAGATAAAAGACATAATAAATTCAAAGTATTACTTTCTTTCCTTTAAAAATGCCACTTACCATAATAAAATCCCAACTACCACGGTACAAAAGGATTGTAGCACCAATCCCTGAAAAATAACGTGCTGTGGTTGGGAATTACAGTTTTTGCTAATCAGTTGGGTGTTTCCTTTATGGAGTCAGTGGGTTGTTTTATTCACACAAGGCCTGGGAAGTAAACCATGAGTCCTGGAGAGAAATTCATCATTCACTATCATCAGCATTATTGTCTGCGGTGAACGTTAATTAAACATGTACTCTATGCTAAGCTTATGCCAGGGGCTGAGGCTACAAGAAAGTATGCAATTGTTCATTTCAAGAAATAAAATTTGGGGCTTCCCTGGTGGCGCAGTGGTTGAGAGTCCGCCTGCCGATGCAGGGGACACAGGTGAACGTTAACATGTACTCTATGCTAAGCTTATGCCAGGGGCTGAGGCTACAAGAAAGTATGCAATTGTTCATTTCAAGAAATAAAATAAAATTCTTCCCTGGTGGCGCAGTGGTTGAGAGTCCGCCTGCCGATGCAGGGGACACGGGTTCGCCCCCCGGTCCGGGAGGATCCCACATGCCGCGGAGCGGCTGGGCCCGTGAGCCATGGCCGCTGAGCCTGCGC